AGTCTCCCATCTGACATGCACCCTCTTTCAAGACTGCCTTCAGCTAGAGTTCCCTCTCCTGAACCGTTCATGCCAGCTTCTCTCTAAGCCCCACTGCGTGTTTGAAGAAGTATTTGCTGGTTTGGGCCAGTGTGACAGCCAAAATTATGTTTTCAGTTTTAATTACTGTGCCAAAGAGATCCATGAAATAAAAGTGCCTATGACCCTTACCCAAGGACAGATAGTCCCTGAAATGTTGGAGGCTATTCTTTATGGGAGATAAAAAGCCACAGGTTGTCACTGAAAGGATGAACGGTGCTGGTGGCGGTACTGCTTACCACGTGGAAAGGTCACGGTCACAACAGAACCCAGTGGTACTTTTAGAACTTTATTAGCAGGGAAAGGGAATGAGGGAAGCCAAGCCCGATGGGAGGGAGCAGAGCAGAGTATAGAGAAAACAGACAGAACACAGAGAGAGAGAATGGGGGTCTGCGTCCGGCTTTTTAAGGCATGTGCATAGCCACCAGCGCCTGCTGATGATGTAAGATGCAAGATGCAAGATCCCCGAGCTGCGCATGTACAGGATCATAACAGTCAATCTTCTAAACAAATTTGTTTAACTCAACTATACCGAATATGCTTGATCATATGTAGACTGGAGTATGTAGGCAGAAAATACGTTAGGATGTACTCTTGCGACTGATGGGACATGATGGGAAATATGGTGGCCTTATGAAGTTGCTTTTTTAAGGCTCTGAAAAATGTGAATCATTGCCATTTTCTGAGAATTCAGGAATGATGCTGGCCAGAGCCCATCATCCTGGCCCTTATTAAATTAAAGCTTGCTTCAAATTTGGCTCAAAATTATGGTAGTGGTCTTATTCTCACCTGGGTGGATTAACACAAGTACTCTAGATTCCTCTATCTACAATCTTGCCAATATTGTAGACAGAAACTAGGATGTGACGAGATCAGGGAAGGGGGTGACCTTTTCATGGCATCCTTCCAGAGCTGCCTTGGGGTAAGTAGGCGGGGCCATATGCTGTTCCCTGTGCTCCTCACCTCCCAGGAGTTACACCTGACAGACTAGGAGCAGGGGGCACACAAAGCTCAACCTTGAGGTCTAGGAGTACCAGTGCCAGCCACAGGATGACACAGTGATAGCTTCTGGATGTCCCTGGGGCCACTGCTCTGGGTCTCCAAGAATGGGACTGAAACAGGGACACATATGCATTGGATTCCCATGGCATCATTAGCTTGGAGAAACTTTGGCAAAATCTTGCATTGCCTAGAGCCCTGTATGGAAGCAGGCTGATTGATTTTCCTTTGTGTTTACTGGGGAATTATAAAAATTGCCCCTAAGCTCTCAACCTACACAAATATCTGAGGGACAGATACATGGTAAATTCAGGCTATACCTGACAAATTAACTCAATTGGTAAGGACCAAACCTCCAATACTTGATTGATTCTTGCAGGCAAGGTTGAGAGATACCACTGGTGTCACTATAGCTTGGACTGGAAGCTACCAGGGGTACCCAATGCCCTTCATTCAGCAAGGCTCCACACTTAATGGGGTGAACATCCACTAAGAGGATTCATGGATGAGAGAGTCATAGGCTATAGATAAAATGTCTACGGAATCCAGGGGCATTTTCATTCCATTTGGAGAGAACTGTGTGGACTCAAGAGAACCCTAATGTAGAGGATGGTAGATCACCCCATGGGAGACTGGAGTGTATGAAGTCGGGGTCCAGGGTACTTTCTGATGGTCTCACATGAAACACTTCTTCAAGGCCCATTGCTTCTTTTAAATGCCATTTATCTATTTTTGAAACTGTTTAAGCCTCTGAAATGTTTTAAATCAGATCCAGTGAGAACCTATGTGCTTGGAGGACACTCCAGGTCACCATACAAGACTTCAGGCTGAGGGACACAATGATTTGACTTCCAGTGGGATAGGATCTTCCTGGCGCTCACAAGGTGAACATGGCTTCTGGGGAGAAAGATAGGCTTTTCCAGGAGGTATTGATGAGCCATCTCTACAGTGTCTCCCTGACAATTTGAACCAAGAGTCTCTGTTTAGGCCAAAAGCTTATTTATGCTCATGGATTGTGAAATATTAAGATGATGTCATTACTGAGAACTTTTACTGGCAGTCCCAAGTGTTTCCACAGCTCCTGAAAAGCATTTTCAGTTCCCATCAAAGGGAATTGAATTCAGGTCTAAGGAGAGTACTACTTGTAACAACCAGTAGGGGGAGGTGCAGCTCTAACTGGAGCCTACTCTGGTCAGAAAGTGGCTAGCTACTCTTTCTGATAGTTTTGATAGCTAACTCAATAGTTAGGAGCATTAACTGCTCTTCCAGAGGACAGCGGTTCAATACCCAGCACCCACATAATAGCTAACATCTGACTGTAACTCCAGTTCCAGTGGATCAGACACCATCATACAGGTGTTAATGCTGGAAAACATCAATGCACATAAAAGAAAAACATTAATAATAATCATAATTAATAAAAAATGAATAATAATAAGATAAAGGAGGAGGAGGAGGTCACTAGCTCTTTCCTTGCTGTGTGGTGTGCACATGGCCACCCTCAGCAGCAGGGGACTGTGGAAGAAAGGCATCACATCAGTGGGCTGCAGAGTCTCTGGGTCTCCCCCCTGGATCCAGGACACAGGGAACCTCTGTCCTTGTCTACTTGTTGACACAGAAGTTATACTGAAGGTCTATGAGTATGGTGATATTTTATTTGTACTGAAAATTTATTTTATTTGTATGTTATTAAATTAAGTTGCCTAGGGGTCAGAGCTAACAGCAAGCCATAGCAGAAGCTGGGCAGTGGTGGTGCACACCTTTAATCCCAATCACATGACAGGTGTGTTCAAGGATACAGCCACCATGGAGACACACGCCTTAAATCTCAATACCAATCATAGAAGACCTGGAAGTCTGTATAGATAGGCAGTGACGAGGAAGTCATATAGTTGCTTTTACAACCAATGAGAAGGCAGAACAGAAAATCAAAAAAAAAGACAGACAGACAGGAAGTAGCTCTCTTTCAGAGGGGAAAAACGGCAGCGGCAGGGAAGGGTAAGAAAGGTTTTTAGTATCAGCTCTCAGCTACTACTCTGACCTCTTGGGCTTTTAACTCTGCATTTGGCTCTGTGTTTCTTATTTACTTATTTACTTACATCTACATATGTGTGATCATGCAGACCAGAGGTAGGGCCTCCCCAGACATGAGGCCCTGGACCAGCAAACTGCCTCCTCCTGCTGCATTATCAGGACCCTGGGCTTCTTCAAAGGTCTTTCTCATGGATAGTCCTCAGATCTTCAGAAGATGGCCAGGTGGACTTCCTGTGTGCCCCTGTCCTTGACCTCTTCCTTCTCTGCATTGGAATCTCTTCCCATTCACACCTCCCAGTAGAAACATTCATGTTTCCTCCTCTATCTCCCAGCAGCTCATACACTTCGAAGCTGTGACACCCAAAGCTTCACATCCCTGACCTGACTCTGGGAGGTTCTAGGCAGAGGTCTGGCTGTTAGTGTTTTTGTCTCAGTCTCAGCAGAGTCTCTCAGAGCCCAAATGTTGCAACTCAAAGCCCACCAGACCCTGGGGATAATTGCTTCAAGATCATGGAAATGCCAGAGCTTCCAGCCTCTGCAATCACCTGGTTCGCAGGTAGAAGGGAACTTAGGAGAGAGACAGCATAGGCTTAACAAGTTTAGGGCCTCATAGCTCCAGGTTTATCATTTTCCCCAACCTTGGTCATAATCCATCTGACAGATAGGGAAAATGAAGAGACAGGATGAGGATCAAAACACTGTTTGGGGCTAGAGATGGCTCAGTGGTTGAGTGCATTCTGCTCTTACAGAGGACCTGGTTCTGGTTCCCAGCACCCACATCTGGTGACTCACAACTGCCTATAACTCCAGCTCCAGGGATCCCACACTGTCTTCTTGTATCATCAGCCACATGGCCTCATGGGTACATACCCCCATACGGAAACATACACATAACTTAAAATAAAATAAAATCATTTCAAAATGTTTAGTCCTGATAGAAGTAGAGTTGGAGACATGGCTAAAATCTGAGACAATGGAAGGAGCCCTGAAATCTAACCCAGGCCTGGCCTCAGGCTGGTGCTGTCAGTCATACCCACTCCAGCCCCACACCAGCCTGTCCTTGTGCATTTGAGCTAGGGGATGAGAGCAGAACCATGGTCTGTGCAGATGAGAAGACTGTGAGAGACCTGACAGGGTGCAGGCTCACCCCAGTCCACCTAGTTCCTCAGAGAAAGTCTTTCCAGAAGGAGGAACAGAGAGGAACCTGAAGTATCCTGATGATCACTGAGGGGCTTCCTAGGACTCCCTGGAGGTGTCTGTCTGTCCATCTCTCTCCACGTCCACATCTCAGAAGGGTGGACAAGTTCTTTGTCCTTATGCCCTGGTGGCCACTGTGGCAGCTTCCTCCCACCCTTGACTTCTAGGCTGGGATGACAAGTCCTCAGAGACAATGCTCTGACCAAAGTGTCTATCAAGTTGGAGGATCTCCCCCTCCATCCCCTCTTCCCTCGGGGTCTGAAGGAAGTCTTCTCTTGGTCAGGATCCAGCTCTGGCTTCTCCTGATAGTTGGAGAGATAACTTGGAAGTGTTTGGCCTTCCTTCCCCATCTCTCCCACCCAAGCCACTTCAGCCAAGGACCAGACAAAGAGTGGGATCACAGTCAACCCCGGGTAAACTCTGCTCCCCTAGACAGGGGTGACTGAGGACAGTTTGGGTTTCAGTGGAGGGGTTTTGTTGTTGTTGCTTTTGAGTTTTTTTTTTCCCATCTGTGCATAAAGAAGGTCACTCCTAGGAACTGGCCCTGCTTGTCACTGGTGGGCCCCTTGGTAATCCACTAGGATCCCCCCCCCTTTCTCCTCCTCCCTGCCACCACATTTCAGGAAAGAAGGAAGGGACAGTATTTCGCAACAGCACATTTGAGATTAGAGAAATACTTTAGTTTCTCTTTCCCCAAACAGGGTGGAGTCCTCCCTGGTGAGTTAGTGGTCAGGCTGACTTCCTGCTCTTAGCTGTGGGCCACAACTGACAGTCTGGAGTCCTATGTGGAGACGGAGGGACCAGAGCTCACTCTCCTAGGTCCCAGGCAAGAGGAACAGCTTCAGCAGCAGGTGGGTCTTTCTCCCTCTCTACCTTGGTGCTCTGTCAACATGGAGGATTTCATGTCTTAAGTGTCTTTCTGTGTTTGGATTCTCTTATTAAGGAAAATATATCTTTGAGATTCATTCACATTGCAGAATATATTAGCATTTTGTTTCTATTTATTGAGAAATAATACTTCATTTTCCCATGGCATTTCCTCTCCCTGCAGGATGTCCACAGAACAGCAGGACCCAGAGAAGACTCCCTTTGAACTTACATTCCTGTACTTCAAAACACAAAAAGTGAAAATTTCTTATGCAATACAAAGGCCATTTCCTTTTCTTGAGATCCTCCGTGACACCGAGCTCATCACTGAGAAAATGTATGATGTAAGTGAAGTTTGTTACGTCTTTACCTGGTAAACAAGCTCCAGATGAAGTTACACTTTGATATCTTGGAACTAAACTGGATGACTGACAGGTTTTCAAGGTTGCATTTAATTTTTACAGAAAGGTGTCATTTCTTACATGGGTGCATGTGCTCGTGTGTGTGTGTGTGTGTGTGTGTGTGTGTGTGTGTGTGTGTGTGTGTGTGTTTTCACATAGGTGCTTGTGCCCACAGGAAAAAGTTTCAGATTCCTCGGAACTGGAGTTGCAGGCAGTTGTGAGCCATCTGATGTGGGTTCTGGGAATCAACCTGGGTCCTCTATAAGAGCTACACACGTTCTTACCTATTAGACCATCTCTGTAGCCCCTGAATTTAATTTTTGACAAAGAACTATTGACAAAGTTTTCATAGTACTTGCTAGAGGTATGAGTTACCATAATAAACACATCAATTATGAATCAGAATTCTGGACTCAGGTTTAAAATCTGGGTTTCCCGTGAGTGATACTTACCATGTCATTATTTCTGGAAGTGTTCTCTCCAGGTATTAAGGGAGAGGAGAAGCAGAGGCCTCAAGATATGGTCCTGCTTCTATCTGAAGGAAAGGTGTTCTATGGTCCCTTCTGGAATCAGGGTGAGTATTGTTGAAGATAAGCCAGATCAGAACAGGGGTTCTCCATAGATGTTCAATGTCTTATGCATTTTACACCATGTAATTCATGCAATTAAAAAGTAAACTAAATTTAAAACAAATAAACAAACTAAAAATCAAAAGGGACTTTAATTTCCCGTTGAATTATCACTGAACTGACTTAGGGATATTTCTGTGAGCACATTTTAAGTTAATAAATGTCTATTTTTTAAGCAGGGCAGTGGTGGTGGACTCCTTTAATCCCACCGCTTGGGAGGCAGAGATAGATGGATGTCTGTGAGTTCAAGGCCAGCCTGGTCTACAGAGTGAGTTCCAGGACAGACTCCAAAGCTACAGAGAAACCCTGTCTCGGAAAAAAAAAATTTAATTTAAAACCCTAGATCTGAGAACATTAATCCCGACAGAGTGTCTTATTAGAACAAGTTTTTTAAACTTTTTATTTTCATTTTGTCTGTATGAGTGTTTTGTGTGTGTGTGTGTGTATATATATATATGTGCACCACTTATGTCCGTGGTGCCTTTGGAGGTCAGAAGAGAGGTCGCCAGATCCCCTGGGACTGGAGTTACAGATGGTGGTGAGCCACCATGAGGTTGCTGAGAATCAAACCCAGGACCTCAGCAAGAGCTGCAAGTGCACTAAACCACTGAGCCATCTCTCCGGCCCCTCTAGGTTTTTGTTTGTTTGTTTTGGTTTTGCTTTTGTTTTGTTTTTTTGCCTTATTAATATGGTGCCATTCGTAGAGTTTAGAGTCATAGGGAACAGACATCTGACTTCCTACAGGCCTATCAGTACTAGTGGGAAGAGAGGAGTTGTCCAGTTAACAAAACAGCTTGACCACCTGGCAAAATGTTAACTCTTTTTTTAATGAATGCGTCTATTTTTATTTCAATGTGTACAAGTATTTTGCCTACATGTATGTGTGCAAACCACTTGTTTGCCTGATGCCCGTATTGGCCAGAAAAGAGCACCAAATCCCTTGGAAGTGATGCTACAGGTGTTTGTGAGTTGTCCTGTGGGTGCTAGGAACAGAACTAGGATTCTCTGCAAGAGCAGCAAGTACTCTCTACCATGAACCATCTCTCCAGGACCTCCATACTTAAAAAATATTGCATTTATTATTTATTTACTTGTGAGTGTTGTGTGTGTGTGTGTGTGTGTGTGTGTGTGTGTGTGTGTGTGTGTTTCTAGTGTATGGGCATATATGTATGAGCCTACTGCTGTGCATAGGTGCAAATCAGAGCACAGCTTATGACCATCTGGTTCTCCCCTTTCACCATCTGAATCCCAGTGACTGAACACAGACCATCAGGATTGGTGGCAAGTGCCTATGACCCACTGAGTCATCTCGCCTTTGTTAACCCTTACAAAAAGCGGTCCTTATTACATGTCATAAAATGACGGTGGGAACACAAAGTCACTAGTGAGTATTTTCTAAGAGAAAGTATTTATTGTTCCACGAGGTAGCCATGCACATATAAAGCTTTTTATTAGAGGCTATGTAGGTAGGGATGGAGGTACACTAACTGTAATTGTTTCCTAGGGCTCTTCTGTGACTTGGAAGCCTGCACTTCAATTATCTCCATTTAATATCTTTTAAGGATTTTACAGATTCCTGTATGAACCGGGTCCCTGTAAAAAGAGTGGTCTACAGAGCCCTGGAAGTACTGGAGAAGAGATTTGACCTAGAGGTTCTGAGGGTACTGTTCAGTGAAGAAAACATGAAGGCATACCCTGATTTGGAATTCTTTGCCAGAAGTTTTGAAAATGGTAATTGGGTTTGGCATCACCCTTTGAGATCACAGTCCTTTCTTCCCATCCTCAACAACCATATATTAAGCATCTACCATGTATCACGTATTACCCAGAGAAATTGGGGATGTACTAGTTTAAAAAACTAACACGTTATGTATCATCACAAAACTTATATCTAATGGCTATAGTCGACACCCTCCAGAGGTCTGCTAGGCTGGGTATTTAGACCAACAAGACCATGAGAGCCCCACCAGCATCAGGACAGGAAGCACTGAGTCCCACTAGCGGATCACTGCTGTCTCTCTACAGTGGAGCCCTTATAATGATATACATAACGGTCCTGCTGGTGACTACCACCCATCTTGAGTGACAGCTCAGCTCTGGGTTGCAGAATCCATCTTAGTTTAGTACCACGTGCTCATAGAAATCAACAATGTGTGAGCCAGTTCTCCAACCCCATCTTGTCCATCTCTAAACCCGCCCAACAAAAAACCTCCCCCCGGGAAGGGCCAAAATTCAACCTTTCTATCCAGGAAAGTCCCCTCTTTCTTATTATACTTGTGACAGCCTGGAAGCCATGTTTTGCTTCTGTTTTCTTCTCTTTGGACATATACCTTCCCTGCCCTCTGAGCACTGGAAGAGGAACACAGTTCATAGTGTGTCTTCTACATTTTTATTCTTGACCTTGGGTGTCTCCTTTCTGTATGGAAAGCATAAAGTCTCCCTTGTGGGAGTCTTCTCTCTCCCAGAACATGATGGATGAACTTTGTTATGTGGGACCGATTGAACTTAGGGTGATTGAAGGATTGGACATTCCTAAATGTGTAATTTGGAAATGCTGTCCCTTATCCCTGCTGGAGATCTCTAATGGCTTCCTCCTCTTCTTCCCTCTCCCTCCCACTTCAGTCTCACAGAACAAATTGTGTTTCCATGGAAGTGATAGAGGGTACCCGAATTCCCAGCTATGTCTTGAACAAGGTAATTACAACTGGAGAAAGTTTCTTCTTGCTGCAGAGAATAGGCAATGAAGGGGATCCTTAGCAGAGTGTGACTCCGGGAAGAAACAGAGAATGCAGGGGGGGAGTTGGTGTAAGCCTGGTGTTAGCTTTCCTGTCCTGGGACAAATCATCCCGGAGAAGCAGGACACTCAAAACTCTGAGGCAGGAGGATTGTGAGTTTGAGGTCAGCAATTTTGCATAGTAAAACTCTCTCAAAAACAAAACAGATACCTGGGAAGTCAATTGATTTGGGCTCATGATTTTAGATACTGCAGCCCAGATGGTTTGACCTCACTACTTAAGACCTGTGGTGGGGCACAGCATCAAAGCAGGGGATGGAGGGGAGCAAAGCTGTTTGCTTCATGGTGACCTGGAAGCAAGGAGGGAGAGGATGTGCTGTGGTCCTTCAAGGATACACGTGCAGTGATCTAATTCCTTCCACCAGGCTCTGCCTAGTAAAGGCACCACTCACACCTATTAGTGCCATTCTGAAGGGCAGGCTTCTATTACATGAGTCCTGGAAGAAGGGGGCACTGGAGATCCAAACTGAGCAGCTTGTAATGGGATGTAGGATCCTGGCAGAGCAACCATGACAACAGACGGTCAGCCTGATACCCATGACGAAGGAACCTGAGCTCAGAGTGTCTGTGAGCCAGACTAAAACAGACTAACTACTCTGAAATAATTGTAATTTAGAAATAATTGTAATTTAGAAAAGCCCCTGAAGGAGATGAACAATATGGAACCATGAAATTTGAAGCAGTAGGGCCCATGGTAGCATCAAAGAGTGAACGCTTTTTAAGGGAATGTTCCTAATTTGTGTCAGCCCTCACATGCACTGGTCTCCCACATAGGATTTATGGTGGGTGAGTTTTCCCCACAACAACCAACTCTCCAGACACCAGCAGGGTGTCTTATGATGTAATCAATTCACACAAACAATAACCACATGGGAGGCAGACACCCCAAGGAATAATGGGGAGAGAACACAGCACTCTCTTCCCACCCCTGCATATCCACCCTTCTACCACTATGAAGTTTGTCAACCCCAAATCCATCTAACAGAGTTACTTAAGATTTTTAATAAAAGTTCCCTCATACCGGCATGATCGATAAAAATCATTAGCCATGTGATCAAGTCAACTTCTATCTCTTCTCACCTTGAAGGGTCAGCATTCCAATGCTGTCATCATGTTTTGTTCCCCTGGCAACCAGCCCTCATTCCTAAGGGTTTTCCAAACCTTACCTCTTTAATGCACACTGCAGTGTTACTGAAGAAGGCTGGCTATGCCCAATGATATAGTGACTCTCTTCTCCCATTTATCACTTGGGAATTCACCCAGGATTTGAGGAGCACTGCTGAGAAACAGGAGATGAAGACCAAAACTAGCATTTCTTAGTTTTCACAGTGTCATACTTGATGATAGAAGATATGGATTCAAACATGACAAATGTTGTTCAAGAGCAAAAATATTCCAGAAAAAAGATATAGAGAGGAAGACGCACAACAGAAAGTGGTTGTGGGAAGAGCACAAGATTCTTTGAGAGACAGAGAAAGGAAGAGGAATGGACATGAAGAGAGCAGAAAGAATCAAGGACAATGGCAAAAGGAGCCATGTTGTTAGTTTCTTGCTCCGGTTAGCATCTACTCTTGTTAGTATCTACCCCAGCTGGTATCAATTGTTGATATCATTTAGATGCCCAGTTTGTAGGTGAGGAATCTAAAATGGAGAGAGACCCTGTGTTCATGGGGTCAAATGAACAAGCAAGAATCCAGGTACTCTGGAGGCAGAGTCTGTGTTCTTCGCCATATATTGATAATCTGTTGTAAAACATGAGACAAAAGTGGGGGAAATAAAGAGAGAAAATACAGGAAGGAATAGCAAGAATGGGATGAAATGGAGGCAAGCTGTTAGTGAGTCCTCATGAGAAGGCCAGCAGGGATTAGCCATCAGATACATAAGGGGAGGCTGTTTTGTGAAAGGAGATATAGTCCAAAGACCACTAGAAACTCAGGCAAGGCCACTGGGCAAGGAAGCTCTGGGGACACATGCAGGCATCCTTTAGGCAGGGATATGAAGATGGGTCAACCACCCACTGCTAGAGTGGCCCAGGCAGGACTTTACTCAGTCAGAGCTGACCCTTACAACCTACTCTCATGACTGAGTCTAATATCAAGAATCAGGCGGGGTGGGGTTGTCATCTCCAGATGGGCTCTGGATTGATGCTTCAAGGGGCCCTTCATCTTTTACATCATAGAGACAGAACAGAATATCCTGCTTCAACTCCTGAAATAAACATCTAATTTTTGCTCCTTAGGAACTGGTGACAGCTGTTCTGAAGAAAGCCTGACTTAGTCACCCTCAGATCCCTCCTCATCTGATGGTCTATTCTGATTGACTTTATTAATGTTGCTCTCTCATCCTATGTGATTTAGTTTATTTTCTGTTGATGTGATGAAACAACATGACCAAAGGCAATTTGGGGAGGAAAAGGTTTATTTTATCTAACAGCTTATAGTCCACCATGAAGGGACATCATGATAGGAACTAGAGGCAGGAACCGAAGCAGAGTCCATGGAGGAACGCTGCTTACTGGCTTGCTCCTTGTGGCTTGCTCAGCCTGCTTTCATATATATCTAAAGATCACCTATAAAAGGGTGACACCACCCACAGTGGGCTGGGCCCTCCCATGTCAATCATTAACCAAGAAAATGTACCCACAGACTTGCCTACAAGCCAATCAGATGGAAGAATTTCTCTTGAGAGTCCCTCTTCCTAGATGATCTTATCTTGTTTTGTTGACCAAAAATACACACACACACACACAAAAAAAACCCAAAAAAAACAAAAAAAAAAAAAACAAAAGAAAACGAAATAAAGCAAAACTAATCCGCACAGCACACAAGTGGGTTTCTCTTTTCTTGTGTTTCTGATGCTCACAACATTATCTGCATTTGTAGTTTCTCCATGTTCAGGATTTAAATATTAGGATCTTTGTCCTCTGGGTTGTCTAGAAATATTTCATCTTCTGGATATCTTGCCAATATTCCTGAATTCACAGTTGTCTGTCTGTGCATTGCTTGACTGACTAGATATAGCCTACATGCTCTGATCTTATGTCCAGTGGTCATTGCAGAGGTGCGATGAGCACATTCCTTCTGTAAGGCAATGAATTTTCCCCTTCGGGTTCAGCTCATAGACCATGAGACAACTGGACCTCCAAATGATACCTCCACTTGCCATCACCAGGGTAACAGGTTGAGAGTTCCTCTCTAGACAAGATAGATCACTGAAAAAAAAAAAACTTGATGTCTTATTAATTTGTTTGTTTGATTTTTTTAAGACAGGGTTTCTCTGTGTTGGCCTGGCTGTCCTGGAATTTGCTCTGTAGATCAGGCTGGCTTTGAACTCAGAGATCCACCTGCCTCTACCTTCTGAGTGCTGGGATTAAAGGCCTGCACTACAATGGCCTGACTCCCTTCGATGTTTGAATCAAACCCTTGAACTTCCTTAATTTAATCAAAGTTTAAAATATTTCTTATTTAAACTATTCTAAATTTGAGACATTGATTATAATAATTTTCTTTTCTGATAAATTAATATAGGTATTCTTGCATTTCTCTTCTCCATAACTTTAAAATGATGATGTATCATCCCATTTTTCAGAAGATACAGTTCATTTCAGGGGATCCAATCTTTCACCTAACTAAGTATTTGGATTCAATTGTGCTTTAAGATCCTGGCAGATTAGGAATGTCTGGGTTGAAATTCTGTCTCTGTGACCCTAGACAGGTTATCCAGCCTCTCTGGACCCTGGTGTCATCTCCTATATGGTGGGATGTGACAGTGGTACATGCTCCAGATGGATGTCAGTGACATAATGAGAAGCATTCACACTGGTGTTTGGTACTCCATCTCTGTTGTGTGCATTTCTTGTTGTTACTGATTCACTGACCAGTGTCATTTGTACCTGCTTCCAGAATCTAAGCTTCTCACATTGCATTAAATGGGGATTTTCTCCTCTCTGGATATCTAACATGGATAGTCACTATGAAATCGATTATTCCTCAGGCTGGAGAAATAATGATAGAAGAAATACCACACTCATCCAGGGAAATCAAACTGAGAATCATCAATCCTCTGGCCTCCAGATTAACAATGGTATAACGCAATAATGTTTATTTCTTTATTCCATGACTCATCTTTGGAAACACATCCCTGGCACTTTGGAAGTGTTACTATGTGACTTTCAGAAGGGATATGTCATTTAAGAAGAGATTTCTTAATATTAACACAATATTTTTAAATGCTTTCAAAGGTTTATTTATTTTTGTTTTATGTGTGTACATGTTGTCTGCACTTATGTATATGCACCATGTGTGTCCCTGGTGCCCTCAGAGGCCAGAACTGGAATTATAAAGAGTTGTACACCTCCATATGGATTCTAGAAACCATACCCAGGTCCTCTAGATGAGCAGTAAGTGCTCTTAAGCACTGTGACAGCTCTCCAGACACCAACTGCCCACTACACACACACACACACACACACACACACACAAACTCAGGGAAAAAAAATCTTTCCAGAGTGACTTTTGAAATAATTGTTATGCATCTTAAAATCTTTCATTCAAAAAATTTTAACATTTGAAAACAGCAATATACAAGAGTCTGTATTCTTAATTGTTCCTCTGCAGGTGCAGAGTGTGAGGATGAGAAGCAGTGAATGGGTGGGATTGTTAGTGATAAACAGTAGAAAGGGACCCAGTGGGGAGGAGGGATGCAGGAGAAATAGGTGAGTTCTTTGTGTGTCTGTGGTCTGGAGAAACCCTATCTGGAAATGGCACCCTAATGATGTCAGTGACAGGGATGGATGAATATACAGAAATATAAACCAACATCCAGATGGGTCACAGGTGAACAATTAGACATCAATGTACATGTCAAATAGTCTGACCCAGCAGAGACACTGACTGTGATGCACACAAACGAGGCTAGAGCTGTAAACATGCCCAGGACCCCAAAAGGCCTGGGATCTAACCACTACGGATTGTAACAAAGTGTGCACCCAGATCCACATCCCATGTTAAAGGTTCTATAATTAATTTTTCAATTATTGGAACTTAACTCTGTATAGAAAATATTAAATGAAAAGCATGAAACTGTACTGCAAATCATATTATTTGTTCACATACTGTTGAGGTTGTTGGAGTAGAGTGGACTGGGCAGACAGAATCCACCATGCGCCAAGTATGTTCCCTGTAGTCAAAGAGAGGACATCAATTTCAGATTTGCTTGCTCTTAGACTTGTTCCCTACCCAGCTCATGCTTGCCTCTGACCATGACCTCTGGCCTCAGGACCCTGCTTTCTTCCTTGACAAGTTCCTCTCTAGCCAGCTTCCTACAGTATTCTTGACAAGAGAGGCATTTGCAAAAGCTTATATAGAATAGAGAAAGCAAAGCCAGGGATTCTTCCATCCCTATTTAGGGCCTCAGTTTGGCAGTAGATGTTCCACCACCACCCTCCGTGGCTCCACGTCCCTCCTGCAGGCCAACCCTGCTCCAGATTCTGAGTACCTAATCTCCCTGTCATTACCTGCTCCTTCAGTCCCTCCCCCAGTTCTCAATCCTCTCTGTCTGTCTGTCTGTCCTAGAGCTTTAGAGCGATTCCTCTTTTCCTATTGGATCCTGGTGCAATGGGCAAATAAAAAGGTTATGATACAAAATCTGTTTTAGTTGTGAGTTTACCTGAAAATGGACTCTTAGAAGACATCTATGAAATAGTACAGATTAACGGAGTTGGAAGAGATAGCACTGTCTCAAACACACACACACACACACACACACACACACACACACACACATACACTCACACACAGACACACACACACACAGCCTGAATGTATTACTGCCAGACATTATTGCAGTCCTCAGTATTGGTAATCATGTGTTCTTTGAATCTGATGAGCAAGAATTCTGTGTATTTTGAGTACCTTATTTTGAGTATTTTGAGTATTTTTAGTAATACACTGTATAACTCTCATGGGTTTGTTGATGGGTAGGAAGAGATTGGGCAGGAGAGTCAGACAAGGAGAATGCTGGGAAGAAGAAGGGTGGAGTGAGGAGTCACCAGCCAGATGCAGAGGAAGCAGGACGTATACAAAATGAGGTAACAAGCCATGAGCCACATGGCAGCAAGTAAAGGAATAGAACTGGGGTAATTGACATGTAAGAGTTAGCTAGTAACAAGCCTGACTTATCAGCCAGGCATTTATAATTAATATTAAGCCTCTGTGTATTTATTTGGGAGCTTCTGGCAAGACAGAAACTTCTACCAATACTATCTTTATAAAATGTGCTGATCAATGCTTTCTACCTAATAATGGATAATGGAAATTATCCCTAGTAAACAGAGCAACATTATGCATGTCAGGGCTTTTGCCTTTCAATATCTTATTGGCAGCTGGCCCTTCTTAGTTATTTTTGGTGGTATGAGCATGAGTTGCTTATGCTGACAGGCAAAGACAAGCAAAGACCCTGAAGTCAGCCCATGTGGATGGAAACCCCGGCTCTCCTTGGCTGGATATGTGTCCTTGGGTACGGTGCTTGTTCTTGCCCTTGTCTTATCTGTACCATGAAGATGCTAGATGTGTGTAGCTCATGGGATGGTTGGCTTCATATTAATCATGCATTTATAAAGTACATGGCCCTGTATGTAATCCACACAAATAATAAACACAAACTTGCAAAACTGACACAAGCAACCTTTGACAAGACAAGATTCATGAGCACCTGGAGCAACTAAATTTATATAGACAGACAAAAGGGGACATCACTGATGAAATTCATAGTGGTGCAGAAAAGGGGCAGGAAACCTGAGACAATAAGCTGGTAAACAGCCCAGGAACCAGGAATGTCAGGGAACAGAGAAGCAGAAACATTTTGGATTTCCTGTTAAATGGCCAAGCTGTTTAAAAAAAAAGACAACAACAACCAAATACCTCTTTCTAAATCTTGACTCCAGTATCCAGGAACTCCTCCCAACTCACAAGAGACAGTAGAATTAACTGGAATTGCTCAAATGTGTTGGCCAATGACCCTCTACACATATACCAAAGTAGAGGTTGTTCACTCAAGGGTACCACTAGAAAATGCAGACATGCAAGGTTGGATAGGATGGAACCAACCAGAGGAACATCCAGGGTGGACCACTGCTGCCCAGTGGCATGATGGGGCAACTTCAAGCCAGTCTGAAGGGTGAAGAGCTAGCAGCTAAGCTCTTTAAGTCTGCTGGAACAGAGTCATGTTTCCATGGCCCTGTGCTGTGGAGGCAAAGGCTGAGTTGGTCATTGTTCTAGAAGGGAAGATGGCTGCTCCACCCTACTGGACAGTCAACAGCAATGAAGGAGACTAAAGCTGTCAGTCATCCTTCCTGAATTCAGGGTGCAGGTGTTTACAGCAAGGTTGCAGAACCCAGCTCTACTCTTACTCTGCTGATTGTGAGGTCCTTGGAGCTGCTGGAGGGCCTGCCTGTCCTGAGCTGAGAGGTCAAGGACTCTCAGGAATGGTCCTCAGCCTGAATTTCCCATTATCACTCCTCAGTATTCACTGCACTGTAAATAAGCACTTTACATCAGGAGCAGAGAAGATGGGACTCTGTAACTCACTGGTTCTCAGCCTGTGGGTCATGTCCCCTTTGCCAGGGGTCAAGCAACCCTTTTACAGGGGTCACACGGCAGATATCCTGCATATCAGACATTTTACATTACAATTCATAACAGTATTAAATTACATCTATGAAGTAGCAACAAAATAATGTTACGGTTCATGGTCACCACAATACAAGGAACTGTATTGAAGTGTCACAGCATTAGGAAAGTTGTCAACTGCTCATCTAATTGTTCCCATGGAACACAGTTGTGGGGATGGCCTTGTGAGGCTTCCCAATACCCTGGAGTCCAAGAACTATTAGGTCAAGCTCTCTAGTCTTCTTGGTAAACTGCCATCTCTTACCCAGTTGTGTGCTCAGGAATACACAGCAGGAGGCAGAGGGAAGGCTCTGGCCTGAATCCCTGGGAAAGAGTAAGTGTTAAAACACTTAGTAAGTGTCTGAAACAAGGACCAGACCTGATGCTGTCACTCCATCTCCTTCAGCAAAGAAGAGCAATTCTCAGGCTTCATGGACCATCAACATCAATTCTGTCAAGATGGCCTGCACTAACTCCAACTGAAAGTCTAGAACAACCCATCATTTTCCACAGGGGTGTTATTTACTTTGCTGAAATTGGCTCATTAACTGTGGCCATGGAAGCACAAAGGCCTGTGACTCTGAGCCCTGTCTTTCCTCTTAAAGGCACTCTTCTTGTCTCCTGCTGCTGGGCAGTGGCACATCTGTCCCCTGAAAGTGGAAAGAAGCTCAGAGGGCTTTGTCCGGATCCTCTCATGCCCCAGAACCAGGCTAGCTGTGGGAATGACCAGGACTCCTGTGCCACAATTCAGTGAGGAATCAGGAAGCTTGGTTTAGTGTTCCTGAAGAAGCACCTGAGGGCTGGGTTGTTACTTGGGTAGTGATTCTGGATGCTATGCAAAAACCCAAATAGCCTGAGGCCTCTGCAGAGGAAAGACCTCGGACTGGATTTGGCAGAGAAGTCATAACTTGTGAGGCAGCTAGCCCTGAATCAATTTCCTGCTTCCTATAGCCTGACCTTGAGAGCAGCCACAGTCTTGTTCAGAGAAGACTAAACTTGGGTAGGAGACTTTTTTGTGGGTAGAGTCATGGGGGGAAAAAGGCATAAAGCAAACAAACAAACAAACAAAAAAACCCAGAACCATCAGGATTTCTTGAGAGTGAAGAGGAAATTTCAGAAAAGAGAAAGCCAAGAGCCAGGTAAACAGAACTCTATCTGTACTGAGAACTAAACCGTGTCCTTTGGACACAGACTGTTTGCCATCTGATCCATTATAATCATGTGCACCCTCTACTGTTAAAAAAAAAAAGCCTTCCAGTTCTGGCTTAAGCAGGAGTTGGTAGGTAACTGCCAGCCTAATCAGTCTTGACCCAGAACCTA